AATCAATCCTTATGGATACCAAGACAGTGAAGAATTATAGGCCTGAATTCAATATTTTATTAGACACAGACTGCTTGCATGATTTCTTCTCCTCCCCTCCATCTTCAAGCCTTCATGCTATCCAAACTTCCTGCTCTTGAAGTTTTCTCAGTCCTCAGGATCAGGCTGTGAAATGACAGAAGGCTATAGAAGGAAAGGGTCGAACAGCTGCAAGATCCTGTACATCAAGCAGGAAAAGCTTAAAGTTCCCCATGAATAATTCAATGTCTTCCCTATGCTCTACCAACGATCAAGCCCTTGAAGAGAAGAAGCAATTCAGTCAATCAAGCAACAGCTTAGATGGAGTACAGCCTCCCTTTACTTCCCCTTGGAGCACAGAGCAGCCATATCTTCATAGTCTGAATTGTCTGTTTGCTACCTCCTCTCCTCACTGCTAAACAGCTTCTGTGGCTTGACAGGAGAACAGATTTTGAATGGAAGCAATGGGCTCAAGAACAGTCCCTTGAGACCCTCTGAAAAAGTGATATACCTATTTAAACTATACTAACACTCCCTAAAGAATATCATTCACAGTACTAAAAGCAGTCCATTGTGGGCAAATGAAAACGATGGGGCATCTTTATATTAATTATCTTCCATTAATGTGCCAAATATATTTAGGATTTGCACAACTAATATTTGCATTTGCTTTCTCCCTCACCCATAAACTTATGCTATTACCGAACAGCAGTTGATACAAGCTCTTATGGTGATTAAGGCCCAAATCACCTAAAACAGTATGCATGTCAACCAGCAACATGTTAACATGGTTTCCAATATACCGTTATTACCTATAATCTAATGGCTGGAACTGACTAACTACCCATAGCCTTCTCACCTTCATCATAGCTTTTTCAGTATACGCTAATTCAGGAAATTAAGTACTTGCTTGGCATTAAACTTGCTCATAGTCATACTGGATTCCTAATTTCCTCCCATCAAACTATCAGAAGAAACAACCTCTAGTAACATTTCAGCACTGTTGACAGCAGCCTGCTGACTGTAAATATTGTTGACCTCTATCCAAACTCTTTTGTGTATGGATTTCAAGTCATGTCATAATTTTAAAAGATAAATACTTATTTCATAGAGAAGAACTCGTGAAAATACCTCTGAGTATTACTTGCCTAAGAACATTCTTACGTTCTACACCTATTAGATGTAGAAAAGACGCATTCTTTAATTGGAATTTCTATTTAGATTCCTCAAAATTCGGTTTTCAGAGTGCAGTTTAACACCACTTTAACTGCCACAGCTCAATACTACAGAATCATAAGAGTTACAGTTTTATGAAGTCTTTAGCTGTCTCTGCCCAAAGTGCTAGTGTTTCATCAAACTAAAAATCCCAGGATTCCACATCAATGTGCAGTTAAAATGATGTCAACTTGCATTCATTCTCTAGATGCATCCTAAGCCCCTATGAATATAAAACACCTCAATATATTTATTAAAAAACCAAAGAGCTTCTGAATTAAGTTTGACTAGATTATATTATTAGCTAATCATTTATTTAAAAAGAGCTCAGCTTATTTCAATATTTTAGAACAGCAACCATGATTTCCTCCATTTAGAAATCTCCCAATGGCCTTTCAATATTTATGTAGAAATATTTATACAAGAGGTAAACTCTGAAAATTTAAGTTTGTCAAAAATGATTTTCCTGTTTTCAAATTGTCAAAGAAGAAAAAATGATCCATTCTTCTTCAGCTTGTAATAATAGTCATTTATAGCAGGGTATCTTTGTAAAGCTACTAGTAAGGGAAGCTGGCCTGCCACAATGGTAAGCTGAAAGCAAGTTCAAAAGTTCAGTTTAAGTGACTGTCATCACATGTTACATGATGGCTGACATGGTTAGAAGATGGCTAAGGACCTGGGAGTGATAAGAGGCAATCATCGCTGATGACTTATCACCCGACAACTGTCGACAGCATTTTCACACATTTGAGTTATCAGTGCCATCATGTGAATAACGTAATGTATGAATTCACACTTTGAATGCTTATCTCTAGCAGGGATGGATGAGGAAGATCAAACTCCAAGAGACAAAATGCAGATTTCCCCATGTAAGTCTGTCAAGAAGCTAGTTTTTGTTTACGTTAATGAGGACACAAGGTGACTTGGAAAATGATTCAATATGGCGCTCTGAAAAGATACTTTTCTGGGCCTCAAGTAAAGAAGATAACAGCAATGCATGAGATCTTCAGGAAGGCAGTCATCCAAATATAAACCACATTACTGCTCACACACCTTAAGGGTAATAATACCACCTTCAAGGCAGTAGTATGCATTTACACCACTGTCATTTTGAACTTGTTCCATATCACACAAAGAGAGAGAGAGGAGGGGGGAGCAAAGGTTTCCCCTGACATTAAGTCTAGTCGTGTCCAACTCTGGGGGCTGGTGCTCATCTCCATTTCTAAGCTGAAGAGCCAGCATTGTCCATAGACACCTACTAGATCATGTGGCCAGCATGACTGCATGGAGTGCCATTACCTTCCCGAAGAAGCGGTACCTATTGATTTACTCACATTTGCATGTTTTCGAAGTGCTAAGTTGGCAGGAGCTGGACTTAACAGCAGGAGCTCGCCCTACTCCCCAGATTTGAACCGCCAACCTTTTGGTCAGCAAGTTCAGCAGCTCAGCGGTTTAACCCACTGTGCTACCAGGGGGCCAATATATATAAACACACACACACAAGAGAGAGAGAGGGGGGGGGGAAGGGAGTGAGTTATATGTGTATATTTTTAAAGGATTCGCTTTCAGACAACTGACATATGTAGTATGACTATTATAAAACATGATTTCTAAGAAAATCTAAGCACTTGTACTTCTTATTGTAGATACTGTGGTTCTTGATCCCAAATGGAGTCCTGAATGCCGGCCAGTTACACAAATCTGTTAACAACTTCAAGTTTACAGTGGACTCTGCAGAAATTGCTTCAGTTGTACTAATTTCCAAAATGAAGAAGGAAAATCAACCCGTTTAGCAAGCCTTGCAAATGCTGGTTTGTTATTAATGTGTGAAGCACCATAGCCCTGTCCCATAATCGGTTTCATCACGTGATGTGGTTTACACCTACACAAGATGATGTGCACTATGGGCCTTATTTCAGAGCATGCCATGATTTTGCTTATCCTAAGGCCTGTAATTTGTGTTACAGTGTGCATTTGCGCCATGCGTCATTTAAACAACACATTTTATCCTGCCTTCAATTCACATTAAGTGCGCCCTGAGATAATGCTGTTACAGAAAAAAAAAACTTCAGTGCATGCTTTCTTCACCACCCTATGTATTTCCTTGACAATTCCCATCAATATTTTATTTTCCTTTTCCCTTCACTTTCCCTGACCACCTTTGATCAATTTCTGTGATTGTCAATGCAAAATAATTCCAAATTTTAAAAATCATCAAAGGTTTATTACATCTGAAAACTACAGAAGTGCTGAAATGCACTCTTTTGCCAAGAAAAAATGCTTCAATGTCAGTTCCTTTCAATATTGTTCACAGAAGAAAAATATCTGATTTGAAACCATACTGAGAAAATTAAACACCATAATGAAAAGATTAGTACAAATAAAAAGTTTAAAATATTACAATGTTTCTGTTCTTGTTTTAAAGTTGAAAAAGTGGCATCAAACTGAATTAATTCTACAGTGGAGATGCACTCTGAATCAGAACTCCCTTAACTTTACTTGATTAATTTTAGTTTTTATGGGCTTTGACTCCCCAGAAAGGCAAGCTTTACCACACAAACCCTCTTTTATACATTCAACCCTCATGTATTTCTAGGCGCAAAAAATTACTGCAGATGCAGACTGTAGCCAGAAAATCAGAAGACACCTACTTCTTGGGAGGAGAGCACTAACCAATCTTGATAAAATAGTGAAGAGTAGAGACATCACACTGGCAATGAAGATCCGCATAGTTAAAGCAATGATATTCCCTGTAGTAACCTACGGATGTGAGAGCTGGACCATAAGGAAGGCTGAGCAACGGAAGACAGATGCTTTTGAACTGTGGTGTTGGAGGAAAGTTCTGAGAGTGCCTTGGACCGACAGAAGATCCAACCAGTCCATACTCCAGGAAATAAAGCCCGACTGCTCACTGAAGGGAAGGATATTAGAGGCAAAGATGAAGTACTTTGGCCACATAATGAGAAGACAGGAAAGCTTGGAGAAGACAATGATGTTGGGGAAAATGGAAGGAAAAAGAAATAGGGGCTGACCCGGGGCAAGATGGATGGGTGGTATTCTGACTGGCTTGACTCTGAAGGAGCTGCGAGTGGCCACAGCCGACAGGGAGCTCTGGCATGGGCTGGTCCATGAGGTCAAGAAGAGTTGGAAGCGACTGAACAAATAAACAACATACATTCAACAAAAAACAAAATTCCATGAACTTATTAACTTCTTTCTTTTCTTTACTTACAGGAACTATTTCTTGCAAGCATAAACATGGATGCAATAGCAATCTACTCAAGGAATTCTATTTATCTCAGAGTACTGATGTGGTTCATATAATCTACACATAGTTAAAATGGAATATACCATTTTATTTATTAAAAGTAATGAATTATTGCTTTTCACACTACCCAGGCCCTCAAATTGCAAAAACGTCCGACAATCTGTTTTATAACATGTACCCCTCTCCTTTTGTTAACTGTATTAAGACTAGCCAAATTCCCTTGAAACTATAACCCATAAAACTAGCTTCAAACTCTAGTTTCACATTCTTAACAAAACAAAATCATGGTGATCTGTAACTCTTGTTCAAACAGCAATGTAACATATCACAGTCCTAAAAATACTCATAAAAGACTGGAAAGTACTGATGCTACAATAAGGTGAAAAGGGGATAGCACACAATCTCATCATTTCAGTTAAGTGGCCAGAAAAATCATGTGTGTATTAGCTTCCTATATTTATTCTTCTGAAGATCTGTTTTAATTAGTACTTAAACTTACCTCTTACTGAACTATGGCATCTGAGAAACAGAAGTAATGAAGATGGGGAGATGACATTTGACATATCCTTCACCTAGAAAAGGAAGAGAAGAGCTTGAAGAGATGGTAGTTAAGAAGCAAAACCACCATACATCAAATATTTCCCATCTTCTATTATCACAAAGAACAGCAAAATACAAATAACACAATAAAACAACTTCCAATTCTATACATATTAAACAAAAGGAGATTACAGTGGTGTACAATGTGTCACACTAGTAACACACACACACGTTTACAATGTTATTCCACAATATAAGGAATCTCACTCTATGAATAAAATAAAAACTAGACAGTTGTTCTACTATATTTAAAACTACAACTATATTATGGCTGTAGTTTTACAAGGTCCTTAGCCTTCTCTGCCAAAGAGTCTGCCACCACATCAAACTAAAAATCCCAGAACCCATAGTATTGAGCCATGGCAATTAAAGTGGTGTCAAACCGCATTAATTACAAATTACAGAGGTAAGAAACATTAAATCTATTGTATTTGAAAAAAGGCTTTTTTTCAAATTATTCTACCGAACTGGATTATATGAGTCTACATTGCCATATAATCTGGTTCAAATCAGATAATCTGGATTATCAGATCCGATAATCTGAATTATGTGACAGTGTAGATACAGCCTGAGGCCCCTTCTACACTATCATATAAAATCCAGATTATTTGCTCTGAACTGGATTACATTAGGCCCCTTCTACAATGCCATATAAAATTCATATTACCTGCTTTGAATAAGATTATTTGGTGTGGACTCATATAATCCAGTTCAAAACTGATAATGTGAATTATCTCCTTTGATAACCTGGACTATTTGACAGTGTATAGAAGGGGCCCTAGTCTACACTGCCATATAATCCAGTTCAAAGCAGATAATCTGTATTATCTGCTTTGATAATTTGGATGCTAGCATTCTTTATGCTACCATTCTTTAAGCCCTGAACTGGGAAACATCATGGCACATTTTCCTACTGCTAGCTATGAATATCTATGGTAACAACAATGATCACACATATACTACATCAATTGCTTTTAAAGGTACTTCTCTATGAAATGTATCTGTTTCTATGACATTGAAGTTGGTTAAGAAACGTTAAGATAAATATGAGAACAAATTGTGAGCAAAATTCACTAAGTTGTCAGCCCTTAAATAATGCAATCCAAGAGAGCATTGTTCATGTAAAAGAATAACACATCAACAGGCTTGAGGGAATGTCAAAGTTTGAAGAAATGCTAACAAATTATGAGGAAAATATATCATTTGAAGAGAAATTATGAGGAAAATATATCATTTGAAGAGAAGCATCTTTTAAAAACACCACAGTGAGGAGAAAGTATGTTCAGCATGCATGAAATACTAACTGGCTGTTGAAGAGTGATAAAGATCCACAGTGGCGCAAGGAAAGAGAGTAAAGCACAGCTGGCCCTACAGATTCTATATCCGCAGATTCAATAGTCCACAGCTAGGGATATATAGGGACCTGATTTGTCCTGAATAGACAATATACTAGTGTAACAGCAGACACAGCCAAATAAACTATTCAGCTTGGCCCTGTGGTTATCATATCAGTGGCAATTCAGTTTGCTTTCTTTGGGTTGTTCTGAAAAAAGAGCCATAGAGAAAAAAACTGGGATTTGTTCTTCTTGAGAAAACCAGTCAGAGAAAGGAAGTTACTTGCTGCTAAATACAATAAACCAACTTCTAAATAAATTCTATGGATTGTTTACACTGTGGTTCTCATTCAATGGCAAATAGCAATGATGGGATACATAAAGAGTATGGGGAGGACATAGGGTTGTTAACAATTTGAGGCTAGCAATTTAATTTTTTTCATGCGTTTATCTCTAACAATTTTGCTTTAAGTTTTAATATCCTTGCAACTGAAAAATAATATAAACAGTCAGTCATCCACACTTGCTGGTGTTAGGGGCACAGAACCTCCATGAAGTGGGAAAACCATGAATGTTTAAAAATCTACTTTTTATTTTATTTTATTGTATCTGAGGCCCATTCCACACACCTGAATAAAATCCCACATTATCTGCTTTGAAATTGAATGTATGGCAATGTCGACTCAAATAACCCAGTTCAAAGCAGATGGAATTTTCCATCTTGATATTCTGGGTTATATGGGTGTGGAAGGACCCTGAGAGAACACCTCTATAGAAATCTCTAGATTCTCCAATATGACTCTATAGTTACCTTCCAGTAGACAATGACCATAAAGTTTCAATGGATTCAGAGCAATTCCATGTGATATCAAAATTATGGTTAAGCAGGTTATATTTGGTAAAATGAACTGAAAGACTATGATTACTTTAAATAAATTGAAATTCAACCAAAAAGGTTTCAATGGAGAACCTAGGCTGGACCTCTATATTCCACGATCTGATCCCAGATTATCTGCTTTGAACTGAATTATGTGAGTCTACACTGCCAGATAATCTGGGATAACCAGATAATCTGGGATCAGATACTGGGATATGGTGCAATGTAGATCCAGTCCTAGAGATTATTTGAAATATATTCTGTCTAGGGATCCATAAGTCCTTCAGTGTGACACTATCATCAACTTTGGAACTCCCTCCCTAGGGAGATTAGGCTTTCTGTCCACTTTTCACAGAAAATTGAAAACTTGGATGTTTCAAGAATGATTAGCTACATTTATAAATGCCCAGTCCCTAGTTAACCAGATAGGGCGTTGCTCTCTTTACCCCATCCAATTCCATAGTCCTATAGTATGCTGTTGCACTTTCCCTTTGGATAGCAGGGTCATGTGCATTTTAGTAACCTGGTTCCTGGATTTGAGTATTGATTGGATGGAATTTTAATACTAATTGTCTACACTTTTATGTCTATTTAACTTTGTTTTTAACTGGACAAATGCTCAATTGATTATGTTTTTATTTTAATTGTGTTTTTGGTTGATGGATTGTTTGTTTATTGTCTTATGAACATTTAGTCCCATGTAAGCCGCTCCGAGTCCCTTCGGAGAGATGGTGGCAGGTATAAAATTAAACATATTATTATTGTTGTTATTATCGTCATCAACAACAACAACACCTGGCAGATGCTGACTACAAAGTCACACTAGAAAACCTAAAGATTGCTAGAAAGAAAGGTTGAACTAAATCAGTGACTAATCAAGTCATATCTACAAATGTGAGGGGCTGCTTGTATAGTCACAGAATGTCTATAAATTTATTAATAGTCTTCTCCAAAATAGTGGGCCATCATGCTGATATTCTGGTTCTTTGGCAAACAATTCAAGCTTTTTTTTCTTTTAGACATGGTAGATGTGCTAGCTGCAACAAAACCATTTTGAATATAGCTACTGAGTAAAATATTATGATTCTCTATAGAGCTAGCTTGAGAATAACTGGCCTGTTCAACTTCGCTTCTTTTCTTGTATGCATTTTTAGAGTTCTGTGCACACTGGCTAACAATGAGACTAAAAACATATATGTTTTCATAAAATAGCCATGTAATGTTCTGTATTTAACCCCATTAAGAACAAAAGATCTATAGCTTCCTAAGAGTTTCCTTTGATGTTTTCTAGAAAACAATTATTCTTGTTTATGTTTATTTTATATAGTGAATTAATACTCTAATGGCCTCTAATGTTACAGCAAAGTACCATCCATTTATAATCATGTAGGTTTACTGTAGAGTTCTTGTAATCATCTCCTACAAAGAAGCTATTAAGAACTGAACCAGTATATTAAAAGAAAACAGGATTCTATGCTGTTGTGCTACTTAATTTTCATGTATAGCAAGGCCCTTAGTGTCAAGCAATGAGAATTAAGGCCTAGAAATCTGCTGCAGTTTGCAAATAGCCTTCTGCAGTATTGTCTCCATTGGATGAGAACACAAAGATTTCTGTACATTTCCTGACAGTTGTCTGTGCTTCCAGAAATACCGTAAAAACCGGGGTAATAGACGACTTTTTAAACCTTTAAAATCCTTTGAAAACTTACCACCACCGCCGCCAAGAAAGGTGCGCACAGGATGAGAGAGAAGGAGGAGAGGTGCGCGCCTTTCCCTCTTTCACCCCATGCATGGCTTTTCTGCTCCTTGCACTACTGCCCCGCGGCCGTGCGGGGGCAAAGGGAGGAGGAGAGCAAGGCCATGGAAAACCCTGCCACCGGGGCTCCCTTCTCCTCTGCCGTCGCTGCCGCCACCCGGGAAGGCAAGGGGGGAGCAGGGAAAGACAGAAGGGGGTTGGACTAGATGGCCCTTGGGGTCTCTTCCAACCCTTTATTAGCATGAATCTTATAATTGCTTATATTATTATTGAGAATGGCTGTCTGTCCATCAGGGGTGCTTTGATTGTGCTTCTGCAGCATGAAGGCAGAAGGGGATTGGACTAGATGGCCCTTGGGGTCTCTTCCAACCCTTTACTAGCATGAATCTTATAATTGTTTATATTATTATTGAGAATGGCAGTCTGTCTGTCAGGGGTGCTTTGATTGTGCTTCTGCTGCATGAAGGCAGAAGGGGGTTGGGCTAGATGGCCTAAAGGATATCTTCCAACTTTTTATTAGTATTAATGTTATTGTTGTTGTTATTGAGGCTGGGTGGCCATCTGTCAGGGCTGCTTTGATTGTGCTTTCCCTGTATGAAGGCAGAATGAAGGGGGTTGGACTAGATGGCCTTTAGAGCTCCCTTCCAACGCCATTATTAATATTAATAAGACTAGATAGCCATTTGTCGAGAGCGCTTTGATTGTGCTTTCCCCGCAAGAAGGCAGAATGAAGGGGGTTGGACTAAATGGCCTTTAGAGGTCCCTCCCAACTTTAGGATTCTGTGAAAGGAATCTTTGTCAAACATGAGCCAGTAGTATGATGCTGCAGCTAAAAAGGCCAATGCTGTTTTAGGCTGTGTCAATAGGAGAAGCCTGAGAAAAGGCAAAAGGGAACTGATATGACACTTTACCTTGGCTGGTTTTTATAATTGCTTTAAATGAGAATTATTTCATGCAACAGTTTATTTTAACTTATTGCCAGCATGATGTAAAGGACCCAGAGTA